ATATATATATATATATATATATATATATATATATATATATATATATGTATGGGGTACCAGCTTCTATTGAGAGTCCAAGAAATAGGGATAACTTTGAGCATGAGTGTATTATGTGTAATTTCACATGATTTTTCTATCAAAAACTATGATTTAGAATATCGATCTACATATATTTGTTTTAAAATATGTTTGTTTCGCAATGTGAATATTTTTAGGGGAAATTGTCTCAAATAGTTATTTCACTCATTCAAATTGGTTTCCTAGTTATTCTTCTCCCGGTTTTAGCCAAATGTCACTACGTCCGTGATATCTACATCCGCAATATTGTAGAACTAGCTAAGAGACAGAAAAAATAATTATCAGATTCAACTCAGGTACGCAATACTTTCAAACCTTATCTCGTTCTTACCAAATAAGATTTTTGGTTTTTGCTATATTTATCCGGAGCGCTTGCCCTTTACTATATATACCTTTGTTTTTTCGGCCAAATTGTTGAAACCACATACAAAAGGCTGGACTCACAAATACACAAGTTTTTTATTCTGTTAATTTTATCGATAGATATTTTAATATTTCGTTATTTTTTTAAGAAATATATTTCGTTATTAATAAATGATATATGTAAACTATGTAGTGGAAAGAGCACAAAATACAACAAAATTATATCACAAATGTATAGAGCCGGATTCATAAACAACACTTTTCGTTTTCGCAGTTTTAAATTACAAAATGGCTACATGGTTTGCAAACACACCTAAAATTGATCCTCCCTTTGATGACTGTTAAAATGATGGACATTTTCGTCCTTTTTTGATTGTTTTTTGTCTTTTACCCAATCAAAATTGATTTTATGATGCGGTCCTTGTGGTTTTTGATTGGGTAAATGATTAAAAAAATGACAAAAATACACCACATTTAAAGGAACTTTTTAACGACCGTTAGAAAGAGAGACCAAATCCGGACGTTTTTGCAAATGATAATAACTATCCTATAACGTTGAAACTCGAAAGGTGTTACTTTTGACAAACCACAAAGACCAAATTTGTAGTTTACTCTATATTGTAATATGTTATAAAATCTTCGAATATATGTTCTATATTCTAACGGTCTCTTCGATGCTTGCTTAATAGTTTTATCTTCGAATATATGAAAAATGATTAGGGTTCATTAATTACGATCAACGTTTTATATCAAAAAATAATTAAAATATTTATGAAATCACGTATTTACTAAATTAATAGACGGTTGAGATTGAGTTACAATGGTTGTAACAATCGGTTATTCCATCTCTAAATATATCATCAATATAAATGTTGTAAAATTCAGGTCACGTATATTCTATATGCACTACAGACATCCAACAATTTCACTTGACGACTGCAAATCTGCTTCCACTAAGCTCACTGCATCTTTATATATATATATATATATATATATCAACATTGTTTCTAGTACATCGAAGAACATTTAATCACATTCAACTGGATTCCTTTAAGATGAACTAAACGATGCCTTACTATTCTGCATCTTTAAATCGTTGTAAAACCGACATATGAACTGCTCAGCCGCCTCATCCACATGGCTACCCTCCTTATCATCGTCCACACTACTCACCGGAAACGGAGAGTCAGTGATCCTTAGTTGCCTAACCATCGGACTCCGACCAAACCCTGGCAACGCCGGCGATGCTGTCTCACTGTGAATCATCTCCATTGCCTTCAACACCGCCGCATTAAAACCCATCACGTCAACACCCTCCGCCGCCGGTTGATTACCGGAATGTTGCTTCTTGTGAAATGGAAATAGAGAAAAAGGGTAGTTTTTTAATTTATCAGAAGGACTGTTACTACAACTGAACTCGTATTCACCCGGCGGAGTGGTAGGGAAACACAGGTGGTTGGAATATTCCGGTGAAGGGCGGCCGTTGGTGGCGGACGCCGCCGCCCAGTAATGGTGGTGGTGGAACATGAGGTTCTGCAAGGCTTTTCCGGCGATCTTGGCACGCTTCATCATCATGTTGAGATCCAACAGCAACTTCTTCTTGGATATGCTTTTACGTATCATGAAGTAAAGAACCCGAATCAAGCTCCAAACTTTTTTGGGTAAAACTGGTAGATTTTGTTCCATTTTTATGAATCTTTATGAATTTTCTTGAAATCTTGATGAACAAATGAAGGGTGGGAGAGGTGGGTATTTAAAGGGGATGAAGGAAATAGACGCTCCAGTAGACACGTATGTTTACCGTTAGATGACCCGACCCATTACTTAGCGAGAGAGGTTTTGTGATTTTTATCGAGTATGCACCCCTATACTTTTGATTATTTGCAGTTTCTACCCTTAACGTTTTGTGGGCAAAAAGGTCGAAAGCAAAAGAACCAAATTTGAAAGACAATGTTGGCAACCAATAATTATTAACAAAGTGATTAATTACACACACACACATACATATATATATATACTATATATGTATATATACAATAAGAGCATGTGTAGCATATTGGGTTTGGTTGCTGGAGTTTCTTGAACACTAATTGTACTTGGTTTGTTTCTCTTTTTTCAAAAGTTTTCATCTTTCCGTTTTCTTAAAGAAAATCTTGAACCATTTGACATTTTTTTAATTAAGCATGCATAAAACGTAACATACATGTTTTTGACACGTGGGCATACCGAATAAAATCTCCAAGACTCGATATCTTTAACAGTTGAGTCAGTTCTGAAATGTCTTCTCACATGCGATGCATACATGACGTGCTCTATGTGATTCTATCAAAGTCAGGAATGAACTTTTATGGTCTAAAACATATATCTTCGAAACACGGAAACAATATATAGTTTTTAAAGTATAATTATTTGTTTTTGGTGACGGGTATTTGTAATTTTAGTAGTCTGAAAATAGAAAAAGGATGGTTGTGTTCGTACACCAAACCCCAACTTAGGAGAGTATGAATTAATACGAACAATTGAAAATAAGATAATTATAAAAAGAAAAGAAAAAGGTTCCATGAATTATATATGCATCCAAATAATTTGAATAATTAATATTAACGAAAGTATAATTAATAACTCGTGGTCGTGGGTGATGTGTTATTGAAATTTAATGTGTATGCAGATGATGAAGACTAAGACAAAAGCTAATGCATAGTTTGTGCAACTTTGGAGGAGAACACAATTACTTGATATGTCGTATTTTGGATGTCAAGTCAAAATACAATTACTTGATATGTTTTATATATTACTCAATATGGTTTTTGATATTATTCAACATGTTTTGGTATGTGTGACGTTAAGTTTATTTCTTTTGTATTTAGCTTATTAATTATCATATGATGTTGTGATTTTTTTTCTTATTACATTAAATTCCTTTTGATTTTAGGATTATTGGAAATTTTTGAAATTTAAACATGTGTGATGTCTTACATATTTGATTTAAAATAACTTACATAAATGAAAAGAAAATCCTCGTTTCCCCGATGAAGATAGGGATGGGGATGTGATCATATTCTCCGACGGGATAGGGACGGGGACATAGTTGAGGGATCGGGGATGGTTTGGGGATTGAGGTCCCATTCTCATGCCCACCATGCCTAATGAAAGGAAGCAGAACGTGCAACATATAACTTTTAGGCTAGTTTAGGCTTTGGCTGTAAAAAATAGGCTCGATCCGACTTGCTCAGACTTTTCAAGGCGCACTCACAAGGCTGGGTGAATTACATGGCACTTGAACCTATAGATTGACTTGTTTTCACTTAAATGCTAATGATTACGTGTTAAAGAGGTCATCATACACTAACAGTGTTCCTAAATTATCTGCAAAGTTTTCTTTAATGTATATAAAATATATGTATATGGCAACTTATAAAATATCATTGCCAGTTCATTAGGCTTATTATACTCTAAACGGTTCAACAAAGTCATGCTGTTATAAACAATGCTTTTTAGAACCAGCTTTTGATCGGAACTGATGAAGATCGATCATATTCAATTTCGTGTTACGGGTTTCTTGATACAAAATTGAAAATGTTTGAAAAAAGCAAACAAAAAGCACTTAATAAAAGCTTCCAACAAACATAAAACAAAAACAATATATATATATATATATATATATATATATATTTCAAACCCACTTGAAGATACAAATATTGGGAACACCACTTGTTAAAAGTTGGTTTATAATATTAAAAAGAACTCCATTTTTGTTTTGCTATTAGCTTGGCTATATAACCCTACTTCTACAACCTTTAGGGTGCGTTTGGTGCGCAGACAGGACAGGACAGGACAGGACGGGACAGGACAGGACAGCTGTTCAGCGTTTGGTAAGACAGGACAGGACAKGATAGAACTGGTTAAAATGACCAATTTACCCCCAGTGAGCTGTTTAGTGTTTTTTCACTACGAAATGCATTCTGGTAACACTGGTCCTACTATCACTACAGCCCTAATAATTCAACAACAACAACAACAACAACATTCAACAATCATAATCAATGTAAACTCTCGAAATAAATCATAATACTTCATTAAAATCCCTAATAAGTACTTCAATTAATCAAGTTGTTGGCGAAATCGAGTACGAAACCACCATCAAAATATAATTCATTACTTGCATAAAATAAGAAGAAAGATATTTGAAGAGTTTCTTCAAATTCGTGATGTAGTTGCTGTAAGAAGCAGCGGCGGCGGCCATCGGGAGAAGCAGCGGCGGCGGCCATCGGAGAAGCAGCGGCGGCGGCCATCGGGAGAAGCAGCGGCGGCGGCCATCGGGAGAAGCAGCGGC